AAAACAAGTGGAGATGATGTGAGGATCCTACAAGATGTTTTCTTTCATTTTCTTGCTTCAGGGTGAAGACCTGATAAACATGAATGTTGAGGGTGAAGTAGAAGAGACGTATGTGAGGGATGATCAGCAATATACAGAGGAGGCTGGAATGAGGAGGACATTCATAGAGGAGGACACTCCTACAGAGATCAGTACAGGTGACCAGAATATATTCTTCTCTTACCTCTGCTCTGTTACTGCTCACTGATTGGTCCAGAGTGGTGATGAGTCAAATGTGACTGGGTTTAGTTTCAAGCAGTTTCGGCAAACATGACTAAAGTTCAGGTGTCGAATCCTAACCGTATTGGAGTCAATGGGAGCCGAACATTAAAAAACCCAAATGGCCATTTTCTGTGCTAATAGGCAACAGATTGCCAAATAAATGGTATGGGGGGGGGGGGGGGGGTGGGGGGGGGGGGGGGGGGGGGGGGGGGGGGTTGGGATCTGCCCTGGGGGACATGTACCAAGGCAAACATTTTGTTTTTAATTTCATTGGCTGGAACTGGCACCAAGAGCACAAGTCCCTACTCCAGCTCCATCCCTGCTAGATCACTGTCCCTCCTGTTGAGGCAGAACCCTCCACCATCTTAAGTGCTGCTCCTTGCCGTAGGCCTCCACATGACATTCCTTGCTGTAGACCAGGGGTCTCCAAACTATGGAGCACAAGTCCCTACCCCAGCTCCATCCCTGCTAGATCACTGTCCCTCCTGCTGAGGCAGAACCCTCCACCATCTTAAGTGCTGTTCCTTGCCATAGGCCTCCACATGACATTCCTTGCTGTAGACCAAACTATGGCCCTTCAGTTGTTGACGTACTACAAGTCACATCATGCCATTGCCTCTGAGAGCCTTGCCTGTGGCTGTCAGAGTCTTGCAAGGCCTCATGGGACTTGCAGTTCCTCAACACCTGGAGGGCCATAGTTTGGAGACCCCTGCTGTAGACCTTTACATCTCCAAGGAAAGAATGTTCACAGCAGATTTGCTTCACTTTACTGTATTCAGGAAACATCACAAGGACATACATTACAGACTCACTTGACATGACACGGTCAATCACATATAGTGGACGGTTTGTAGTAGTCACAAGTGAAAGCATATGCAGCACTTTAGCAGCCATCTCCTTTACAGTGTCTCCTCTCCTCAGGGTCATTAGTGCTCACAGGACTAGGCTCTCTGTAGTCAACTTGTAGGTAGCTGCAGTCTGTTTGTCCACTGCAGGTGGCGCTTATCCACAGCAGAGATGTAGGTAGAGGATTAAGTCAAGAGGAATCTGGTTCCTCTATGGTTTCCTTGGTCACAGAGAGGCAGCATCTGACTGGATGCTGACACCCCATGGCCATCTTGGGTCAGGCAGAGTCTATTTAAGATCCTGGCTCCTGGGTGTGGTGCATTTTGTGTGCGGCTAGAGTAGGGAAAGGTCACCTGTGTGACAGGGACAGTGCTTAGTGTCAGGGGAGAAGTTCCAGACCAGTAGGGAAAGTGCAGGGACAGGCCATCCTTTCTAGAAGCCTCCCCACTTGGGTACAAAACAGCCAGGCCGCATTCTGCCCCTTGAGACAGACACTGTCGGCACACCTGAGACTTTCTGCTACTGCTGTGTTCCCGGTCAGGTGCCTTCCTGCCAGGCTTGTTGTGTATTGCCGAACCTCAATTTCAATACGGTTCTGTTTCCTGAAAGTGGACTGGAGTGTTTTCCTGCCCACGCACCACTCTGCACCTACACACAAGCTCCTTGCTAGGTCCATTTCTCCCAGGAACCCTCCAGAGAAGCAGCCTCACACAGGGATATCCAGCCTTGCTGAAAGGCATATTGCAATCCACTCTAGCCTGCCTACATGCAGCCAGCTCCTCCTGAGTACAGGCCCACCCACAATGTACATCCACTGTCCACCACATAGTCCAGCAAAGTAGATCCACTTCGTTCACAATGCCCAACGAGCTCAGATCCAGAAAAAAGAAAAAACCTCTCCAACCGCCCATGAGCGCCTCGTCCCATTGCTTTACTCCCACCAAACGATGGGTCCAGCAGATGATCACTCTTTTATTCAAAGTGATGGGGTTTTCTGGGTGTCATCATAGATCGTAAAAGGACATGACCCTATACTAGTATAGTCAATGATGTCACGGGATACAGACTCGTGTCGGCAGGCGCCATTTCTTAAACTTTCGGCGAGTCATGGAGCATCGTGATTGACATAGATCTGAGTTACTAGCAGGGGCGGACTAACCATTTGAAAATTGGGCTCTGCCCGAGGGCCCAGGATCAGTAGGGGGCCCCATGAGATGCCCCCGGTACCTTTTATAGGCTTTTTTGGGTGTGGTTTGAGTGTGGGCGAGGACACAGGGGCCCCATGATCCCCTATTGCCCGGGGGCCCCATGAGTTATCAGTCCGCCCCTGGTCGCTAGATGATGTTTTTAGTTACACTTTTTATTTTTTGTGAATGAGTAGCGGGGGGAAGAGGCCCTTGTCCTCATCAACATGGGGACAAAAGTGCTCTCCAAGGGGGTCATCTTTCTTATGTTGAGGACCTTCAGCTTGATATGATTCAGGAGAGGGGAGGCCACACCCTCATCTTCCTCCTTTCCTCCTGCATGCTTGGACAAGGGGGGGGGGCTTCATGCTCATGGTTTTTTCATGGGTTCCCAAAGGGTTTGGAGGGGACCTCAATCTTTGTTTTTTTTTTGCATGGGTTCCTACTTAAAAAAGTCAAACCATGGTATGGAATGATTCGCTAGATGTTTTTAGTTACACTTTTCATTTTTTGTGAATGAGTAGTGGTACCATGTAACCCTCACTAAATCACAAAGGGGAAGGTCAATATCTGGCTTTCCGCTTACTGTTCTTGAACTTCCAGATTCCAAAAAGCCCCCTGCCTGCAGACCCCCCACAACCATCTGGCCAGGGCTGTGGGGAAGAGGCCCTTGTCCTCATCAACATGGAGACAAAAGTGCTTTCCAAGGGCGTCTCCTTTCTTATGTTGAGGACCTTCAGCTTGATATGGTTCAGGAGGGGGAAGGCCACATGCTCATCTTCTTCCTTTCCTCCTACATGCTTGGACAATGGAGGGGGCTCATGCTCATGCTTTTTTCATGGGTTCCCAAAGGGTTTGGAGGGGACCTCAATCTTTGTTTTTTTTTGCATGGGTTCCTACTTACAAAAGTCAAACCATGGTATGAAATGATTCGCTAGATGATGTTTTTAGTTACACTTTTCATTTTTTTGTGAATGGGTAGTGGTACCATGTACCTCTCACTCATTCACATAGGGGAAGGTCAATATCTGGAACTTCCAGATTCCAAAAAGCCCCTTGCCTGCAGACCCCCCACAACCATCGGGCCAGGGGAAGAGGCCCTTGTCCTCATCAACATGGGGACAAAAGTGCTTTCCAAGGGGGTCTCCTTTCTTATGTTGAGGACCTTCAGCTTGATTTGGTTCAGGAGGGGGAAGGCAACATGCTCATCTTCCTCCTTTCCTCCTGCATGCTCGGTGTAACGGGCCGCCTGACAGCACCTCTATCAGTCCCCTGGTAGAGCCTCCCCAGAGTGCGGAGTCTAAGCACCGGAGCACTTGTTCACCAGGGCCCCTGATGGTGGGGATGGACTTGGAGTGCTCCGGTATCAGGTCGCAACTACCAGGTATCTCCAACAGGGGTAGAGGAGTCTGACAGGGGCTCCAGAGAGCTAGGAGTCTGCTGTAAGGGAGCCTACTGATCCCTGCGGGGTGGGTGGATGGATGAGCTAAATCAGAGTCATGCAGGCTGGGTCGGCAACTAGCAGATCGGTAAGGTACAAAACGGTAGGCAAAGGATAGTCGGGTCACACGCAGGGTCAATACCAGGAGGTCAGATCTAAACGGGAACATCCAGGAGCAGAGTCAGGCAAGCCAAGGGGTCAGGACGGGAGAAGGCAACAAGGTCAAAACAATCCAGATCAGAAGTACTCACACACAGGTAACAGGATACAAAGACCATTCGGCAACAAGCATCTGTGCAGGGCTGGTTTAAGTAGCCTGCCCTGCACCTGACAGGCGTAGCCTGGGTCCCAGTGCCTGCCTAGTACTGTCCAGACGACGGGTGCGCCTGGGTCCTAGTGCCCTGGCACCTATACGTCTTGGCAGACACCTACGCATGTGTAGACCCATGCGTCGTGATGGTTCCTGACACTCGGACAAGGGGAGGCCTCATGCTCATGCTTTTTTCATGGGTTCCCAAAAGGTTTGGAGGGGACCTCAATCTTTGTTTTTTTTTTGCATGTGTTCCTACTTAAAAAAAGTCAATTCATGGTATGAAATGGGGGAACCCCATTTTTAATGAATCCCAGCCATGCAAGTGAATGGGGCTGATGACATTACCAGTTGTTAAGGAGCCTACACCTACACCGATGATCTTCAGCTTCCAAATAGCCAACTTGTGTTCGGACTGAACTTGAACCTCATCCCTGGTCCAGAGTAGAGCTGTTGCTGAGGGATATCATCCAATACTAGTCAACTATAGGCTTGTGGTTGCGTAAAGAGCATGCCCCTCCTAGCCCCCATTGGTTCCTGCTCCTCTGACAAGGCGTGTAAATGTAGAAGTGATCTGGGAGGACCAAAGGCCCTTTGAGGAGGGGAAGAGTCCCAGCTGCTTGGGACCACCACAGAGAACATCTGCTCCCTCCTATCTCCCTGATCCAGATGGAATCTTGATGGAAGTGAACTAACCGTCTCCTGTCTATTGATGATGTTTTTCTATTTTTCCAGGACCCGCCATGGAGAAACCCTCAAAGGATCGTCTCACTTTATCTCCAGGTTGTAAAATGGAAGATGAGGACATCCCAGGAGATTATGCAGGAGAAAAGACAATGAGCTCCACTATGGATGGTGGACTTCCCAGTGTGGAGAGACCATGGGATCCCTCTGACTCTGAGCTACCTCGTACTGTGGGGGATGGGGCCGGTATTCGGTGGGGGAAGACGTTTTCCTGTCCTGAATGTTCGGAAAGTTTTAGCTCTAAATTAAGTCTTTCTGTACATCAGAGGTCCCACACAGGGGAGGAGCTTCATTCCTGTTCTGAGTGCAGGAAAGGTTTTCTTCATAAATCAACACTCATCACACATTACAGGACTCACACAGGGGAGAAGCCACATTCCTGTACTGAGTGCAGGAAATGTTTTTCTCGTACATCAAGCCTGAAGTTACATTACAGAACTCACACGGGGGAAAAGCCGTATTCCTGCCCTGAGTGCGGGAAATGTTTTATTAGTAATTCACACTTTGTTAAACACCAAAGAACTCACATGGGGGAGAAGCCGTATTGCTGCCCTGAGTGAGTGCGGGAAATTTTTTTCAGGTAAGGCAGATCTTTCCAACCATCAGAGATTGCACAGGGGTGAGAAGCTTCATTCCTGCCCTGAGTGCGGGAAATGTTGTTCAAGGAAATCAGGCCTTGTTGTACATCAAAAACGTTACACGGGGTAGAGTCCATATTCCTGCCTTGAGTGCGGGAAATGCTTTTCAAGGAAAGTCTTGCTAGTTTCACATCAAAGATCTCACACGGGGGAGAAGCCATATTCCTGCCTTGAGTGTGGGAAATGTTTTCGACAAAAGAACCACCTGAGATTACATCAGTGGTCTCACTTGGGTGAGAATCCATATATCTGCCCTGAGTGCGGGAAAGGTTTTCCATCAAAATCAAACTTTATTAGACATCAAAAAACGCACATGGGAGAGAAGCCATATTCCTGTCCTGAGTGCTGGAAATGTTTTTCAGATAAGTCTTATTTTAGCAAGCATCAGAGACTGCACACAGGTGAGAAGCCATATGCTTGCCCTGAGTGTGGGAAATGTTTTCAACAGAATTCACAACTTGTTACACATCAAAGATCTCATATGAGGGAGAAGCAGTATTCTTGCCTTGAGTGTGGGAAATGTTTTTCGCAGCTATCTCATTTGATTGTGCATCAGAGAACTCACACGGGGAGAAGCCATATTCCTGCGCTGAGTGTGGAAAATGTTTTTCACAGAAGCCCCATCTTTACAAACATAATATATTTCACACAGGTGAGAAGCCGCATTCCTGTCCTGAGTGCGGGAAATGTTTTTCAGATAAGGCCAATGTTATTAAACATCAGATATGCCACATGGGTGAAAAGCCATTTTCCTGCCCTGAGTGTGGGAAATGTTATGCACAAAAATCTGAACTTTTTGAACATCAGAAATTTCACTCAAGGGCTAAACCGTATTCTTGCCCCGAGTGCGGGACATGTTTTGCACATAGAGGCAGTCTTGTCTTGCACAAGAAATTGCACACGGACAGGAGGCTGTATTCATGTCCCGACTGTGAGAAAACATTTTACACAAAAGGGTACTCTTACCAAACATCAGAGAATCCACACAGGCAAGAATCTACATTCCTGTCCCAAGTGTGGGAAATGTTTTACACAGAAGTCTGGTCTCATCAGACATCAGAGAACCCACTCAACCCCCTCTTGCAGTGTAGTCTGATCTCCCCTGACCTTCAGCAGAAGCTTCCATGGAGGACATCATGGTGAGAGAGAAGGAGGGGGGGGGGGGGTCACTGCTGGTTGGGTCCTTCTAGCAGTGTAGTCTGATCTCCCCTGACCTTCAGCAGAAGCTTCCATGGAGGACATCATAGTGAGAGAGGAGCTAGATATTGCTTGTGAATGAAGAGAAGGGGAGATCAGACTACATGGCACAACTGATTATTTAGGCACAGAAGTTATTAGATGGCACAGGCAGCTTCATTTGCTTAGCGCCACCTTCTGCTTGAAAGTTTGAAAATATGATATTTTTGAGATGCAACAGTTTATATTTACCTAATTAAAAAATACAAAGATATTAACCTTTTGTTTGCATGAAACTAATAAAAGTTAAATATTGCTTTTTCTAAACGCATTGTATTCTTTGTAAGTTAATTGAGAAACGTTTTTAGGTTTGTGTTATGAAATGTTCCTCCTCCTCATTTCTCCTTTTCATATTTTCTCTTTCCACTTTTCTCCTCCTCCATTTTCAAACACTTTAATAATCCTGTGTCTTAGTAGTTTGGTGTTCCCAGCTTGTCCTTGTTGGAACAGCCGACTCTCCCCCTTCTCATAGATCTCAGGACGTCTGTAGTATACTCCAATGATAAGTCCATCAGTCCATAGAGCCATCTATCATTCCTCCCGTAATTCCTCCTCCGCACCATCACCACCTCCAACCAGAAGACCATCTTTCTTCCTCACTTTCACATCACATCTAACATAGAGAAACCCCCCTCCATCTTTTATATGTGGTGGGGACTTGGCTATTTTTGGCACCTGTATCGGTGCCTATTTTGATATCGGCCAAAGGGGTATTTTCGGACAAAACATTTTGGCCGCTGAAATTTCGGTGTATCTCTACCATGTAGTTGGAACAGCCGACTCTCCCCCTTCTTGTAGACCTCAGGACGTCTGTAGTATACTCCAATGATGAGTCCATCAGTCCATAGACCCATCTATCATTCCACCCATAATTCCTCCTCTGCACCATCACCTTGTTGGAACAGCCGACTCTCCCCCTTCTCATAGACCTCAGGACGTCTGTAGTATACTCCAATGATAAGTCCATCAGTCCATAGTCCCATCTATCATTCCTCCCGTAATTCCTCCTCCGCACCATCACCACCTCCAACCACAAGACCATCTTTCTTCCTCACTTTCACATCACATCTGACATAGAGAAACCTCCCTCCATCTTTTATATGTCGGTGGGGACTTGGCTATTTTTGGCACCTGTATCGGTGCCTATTTTGATATCGGCCAAAGGGGTATTTTCGGACAAAACATTTTGGCCGCTGAAATTTCAGTGTATCTCTACCATGTAGTTGGAACAGCTGACTCTCCCCCTTCTTGTAGACCTCAGGACGTCTGTAGTATACTCCAATGATAAGTCCATCAGTCTATAGACCCATCTATCATTCCTCCCATAATTCCTCCTCCGCACCATCACCTTGTTGGAACAGCTGACTCTCCCCGTTTTCATAGATCTCAGGACGTCTGTAGTATACTCCAATGATAAGTCCATCAGTCCATAGACCCATCTATCATTCCTCCCGTAATTCCTCCTCCGCACCATCACCACCTCCAACCACAAGGTCATTCTTGTCTTCTTTTCCTTACTCCTCCAGTCTCCTCCTCTTTTCTCCTCCATTGCCCAGCAGAACAAGTACGGCCCATCCTGTAGGTTTTAGTCTCCATCTTGTGCCTTAGTAGTTTGGTTTTCCCAGCTTGTCCTTGTTGGAACAGCTGACTCTCCCCCTTCTCATAGACCTCAGGACGTCTGTAGTATACTCCAGGGATAAGTCCATCAGTCCATAGACCCATCTATCATTCCTCCCGTAATTCCTCCTCTGCACCATCACCTTGTTGGAACAGCCGACTCTCCCCCTTCTCATAGACCTCAGGATGTCTGTAGTATACTCCAATGATAAGTCCATCAGTCCATAGACCATCTATCATTCCTCCCGTAATTCCTCCTCTGCACCATCACCTTGTTGGAACAGCCGACTCTCCCCCTTCTCATAGACCTCAGGATGTCTGTAGTATACTCCAATGATAAGTCCATCAGTCCATAGACCCATCTATCATTCGTCCCGTAATTCCTCCTCCGCACCATCACCTTGTTGGAACAGCCGACTCTCCCCCTTCTCATAGACCTTAGGACGTCTGTAGTATACTCCAATGATAAGTCCATCAGTCCATAGACCATCTATCATTCCTCCCGTAATTCCTCCTCCGCACCATCACCTTGCTGGAACAGCCAACTCTCCCCCTTCTCATAGACCTCAGGACGTCTGTAGTATACTCCAGTGATAAGTCCATCAGTCCATAGACCCATCTATCATTCCTCCCGTAATTCCTCCTCTGCACCATCACCTTGTTGGAACAGCCGACTCTCCCCCTTCTCATAGACCTTAGGACGTCTGTAGTATCTCCAATGATAAGTCCATCAGTCCATAGACCATCTATCATTCCTCCCGTAATTCCTCCTCCGCACCATCACCTTGCTGGAACAGCCGACTCTCTCCCTTCTCATAGACCTCAGGACGTCTGTAGTATACTCCAATGATGAGTCCATCAATCCATAGACCCATCTATCATTCGTCCCGTAATTCCTCCTCCGCACCATCACCTTGTTGGAACAGCCGACTCTCCCCCTTCTCATAGACCTCAGGACGTCTGTAGTATACTCCAATGATAAGTCCATCAGTCCATAAGACCCATCTATCATTCTTCCCATAATTCCTCCTACGCACCATCACCTCCAACCACAAGATCATCTTTCTTCCTCACTTTCACATCACATCTAACATAGAGAAACCCCCCTCCATCTTTTCTATGTCCCGTGTCCCTCTAAACAAGAGGATCAGCATGAATACAAACTTTCTTCCTTACTTTCAGATCCCATATGCTCATTGGTGATGTGTTATGTTGAAGGGTCCTACTAAGTTCCAAGTATCCCCAAATTTTGGACATAGACACAACACTTTTGTTTTTTTTTTCATCCTTTCTCAGCCAATTATACTTCAACTATATGGGCTTTGTTACATTATTTTGAATTTATTCCTGCCAACAGCCTGTGATGACATCTTTCATTTCATTCATCTTTAGCAATGGCTTTCCAGTTGTCTATGTAACATCACTGCGGAGGCTTGGCCTTACCGATTCCCTGGATTGCATGTGAACAAAATACTTTGTCGGCATTGGTGTTTGTACTTTATACTCTTGTTGATACTAATAAAAACTCTTTTTAATTAAAAAAAAAAAGTATCTGTGCCTCAGACTGGTAAAATTTAGCAAATTAAAATGACAATAAAACTTCATTATTTTTAAATGAAAAAAAAAGACATGCTATAATTATCTGCTCTGTAATGGCTTTGCATAGAGTAGTCTCCTCTTCTTGGGTCCCCTGCTGGTGCTCCTGGCTCCACCCTCCCCTCACCCAGTGCCCCCACAGAAAGCCACTTTCTTTAGGGGCACTCATGCAGGCTCAGTCCCAAGCTGCCCTGTCTGCGTCTATTGACACAGACAGCGGGGCGCAGCCCCTCCCACTCCCTTGTCACTTGATTTATTGGCAAGAGTGGAAATCAATGGCTCTGGCTACTTCCAATCTGCCTTGGATGGGGCCAGAAGAGACGCTGCTTTTGTGCACAGCTCTGGATCAAGATCATGTTCAGGTAGGTATAAGGGGCAACGGGGGGTGCTCTGCAACAGAAGGTAAGTTACCATAATGTATAGAATACTTCATAGCTCTCTGGGAAGTAGTTTGCTGTGTATGTAGAACAGGGGTCTCCAAACTTACCGAATGAAGGGCCAGTTTACTGTCCTTTAGACTTTGGGGGGCCAGACTGTGGGCAGTGGAAGTAAGCAAAGCCCCAGAATCAGTGGGAGTAAACAATTCAAGATTGGTGCTAAGGTGAAGTAAAATAATTACATAGCGCCTGGTATTAATGGGAGGAATAGTGCCCCATCATTGGTATTAATGGAAGGAATAGTGCCCCATCATTGGTGTCAGTGGGAGGAATAGTGCCCCATTATTGGTGTCAGTGGGAGGAATAGTGCCCCATCATTGGTGTCAGTGGGAAGAATAGTGCCCCATCATTGGTATCAGTGGGAAGAATAGTGCCCCATCATTGGTATTAATGGGAGGAATAGTGCCCCATCATTGGTATTAATAGGAGGAATAGTGCCCCATCATTGGTATTAATAGGAGGAATAGTGCCCCATCATTGGTATTAATAGGAGGAATAGTGCCCCATCATTGGTACTAATGGGAGGAATAGTGCCCCATCATTGGTGTCAGTGGGAGGAATAGTGCCCCATCATTGGTATTAATGGGAGGAATAATGCCCCATCATTGGTACTAATGGGAGGAATAGTGCCCCATCATTGGTATTAATGGAAGGAATAGTGCCCCATCATTGGTACTAATGGAAGGAATAGTGCCCCATCATTGGTACTAATGGGAGGAATAGTGCCCCATCATTGGTACAAATGGGAGGAATAGTGCCCCATGATTGGTGTCAGTGGGAGGAAGAGTGCCCCATCATTGGTATTAATGGGAGGAATAGTGCCCCATCATTGGTAATAATGGGAGGAATAGTGCCCCATCATTGGTATTAATGGGAGGAATAGCACCCCATCTTTGGTATTAATGGGAGGAATAGTGCCCCATCATTGGTATCAGTGGGAGGAATAGCGCCCCATCATTGGTATTAATGGGAGGAATAGTGCCCCATCATTGGTATCAGTGGGAGGAATAGTGCCCCATCATTGGTATCAGTGGGAAGAATAGTGCCCCAACATTGGTATCAGTAGGAAGAATAGTGCCCCATCATTGGTATTAATGGGAGGAATAGTGTCCCATCATTGATATTAATGGGAGGAATAGTGCCCCATCATTGGTATCAATGGGAGGAATAGTGCCCCATCATTAGTATTAGTTGTAGGAATAGT